GAGAGAGAGAGAGAGAGAGAGAGAGAGAGAGAGAGAGAGAGCGAGTTACGCCGAGACCGCGCACGAGCGCAGGAAAGACCACTGAGGGGAGGGGGACAACTGGATCAACACACTCGTACTCCTAAGCAGATGTCCCCTAGTTCAGTTTCCCCATCCCCGCCCGGACGAGTACATACACACATACATGCATGCAATCAACAAACTTTGAGAGGACATCTAATCATCCATGGACCTTCAACATCACTCGTGCGCACCACCAGCTCCCATCACTCGAGGCTTCACACACACGGCATGCATAGTCAAAGCAGCAATGGAGATAAAAGCGAATCCTTCTTGTACACAAAAAAATCAATTAGTTGCCGCCTCCAGGCGCAGCCTTCAAAACTCCCCAAGACCACCGACCACCACAGCCACAAGGCCCTGCCGCGGCCGGTGTCCAATCCCCACCACTGCTCAGTCCCTCCGATTACTTCGCCCCAAGACTACCGCGGGTCCACCCCACGTCGTCACTCCGCCCGTCCTTGGGCTTGTTGAGCCTATTCGGCGCCGCGGACTCTCGCGCATAGCTCGCGCAGCATTGCAGCCGAGATCAAAGAGAGAGAGAGGAGAGTGTTGCGCGAATTTATAGCGCGGGAGGCGGCGGGTTTTCAGCGCGAGGTGCGGGCAGCGCAGGTTGTAGATGAGCACGACAGGAGGAAGGTGGGGAGTTAGAGGGTTCGACCCGCGGGATGGCATGGTCCTACGTGATTGGGGTGTCCGTTCAAGTGTCGCGCGGTTTTCCGCTCTCCACATTGATCCGGACATCCCAACTGCGTGGCCAATCACTTCGCGGGGTAAGGATCGAGCTGGGCGGAGGGGAAGACGAAGAGTCCGGCATGGGGAAAATGCGCGCAGCAAGAAGGGAAGATGGCGCGAGGKTGCAAAGCAAGAAACGGGGATGCGAGACGCGCGAAGAAATCGGAGCTTGGGCGCGTGCGCGCAAAAATTCAAAAAGTCCCAACCGCACCCGTTTCTTGGTTTTCATACCGCGGCCGCTATTCGCCCGCGGGAGTTATTAACCAAACAAAATGAAAAAGCCGTTTCAAAAAGAAAACAAAAGCAAAAAGAAAGAAAACCCCTTTCTATCCGCGTTCGTACTTCGGGGCTTCCGCGGGATTTTTCCTCAGGGATACGACAAGCCGCGCGGTACGGATCTGAGCTTATCACATCTGTGATACGCAGGGGGTTCCGAAAAATTAGCAGTCTCCCGACTGCTGATGTCATCATATGTTGGATGATCGGGCGGCCTCTTCATCGTCAGCTGGCCCGATCATCTTCGTAATCTGCGTGGATGCATCCTGCATCCTACATCTCCTCCTCCCATAGTATACATTCGATCGGGCGGCCCCTTCATCGTCAGTTGGCCCGATCGGTAAGTAATTGGTTTTTTTTTTTGTTTTTTTTTTTTTATATATATATACAGCGCGTACCATCGCGTGAACTTTGGAGATAGGAGAAGAAGGCGATAAAGAGAAGGAGAAGGAGAGAACAGGGGAAAGGTAGACGGGGGTGATCAGAGGAAGTGATCTATGTCGGGATTGAGAGGGGGCAGAATAGGCGGAAGAAAAGCGACCATTGCCGCGGGAGTCGTCGGAGCATCTTCCTCATGGAAGTGGTGTTGCACGAGCGAGGGATAGAGGAAAGCCCCCGGCACATGAGACAGGACATGGGGCCCCAGATCCGCCACCGCTCGCACCACCCGTTTGCGCACCGATCGGGGCCCCGGACCCGTCATCACCACATGAGTCTCGGTGTAAGGCCGCCGCTCGCGCTTCTGCGCCGCGAAGATAAGGAAGTGGTACATCGCATTGGGACGCTGCCCGGTCTCATAGATGAGCGTCCCAGCCAATCGCGCCGCAATACACCCTTGAAAAGGGGGTGTCAGATATGGCTCCCAGGCCGGATCAGGGCGCGGCGCCCCCGCGATGGCCTCGAGCCTGATGGTGGCGGGTTCCACCATGAAGTCCACCTCTGTCGGATGGACCGTCCGGCTCGGAGGAACTACTAATGTCAATGACCGGGGCACCCCGGGGTGGCTGGCGGGAACGGAGAGGTCCCGCGAGGATGGGGGGTCTGGATATGGGATCCGGAAATCCCATTCGACTTCCTTCTCCGGCTGCTGCTGATGATGATAGTCCGGCTCCATCAAGATTGAGATCGGGCACATGCGGAAATGGCGGCGATGGCACAACTATCTCCTTAACGAGCGTCGCCGCACGCGCGGGCTGAATCACTTCCTTGCCGTCTCCGATCCTGCTGCCTTGCGCTCCTGGCGACGGGTGGCGTCTCTTCCTCCTCGGCATCTTCTTAGCGGCCTTTGGTGGCGCTGGTCGAGAATACGACGAGGGAGGCCGCAACGGCCTTTCCTCGTGGAAGTCTTCCAACCTCTCCGCCCGCTGCGCAATGTAATTCGGGATGGCGACCACGTTGTACGTCCTCCGCGGGGCCATCGCCGTTCGCAATCGTGGTTGGATTTCCTCCTCCTCGCTCGCGATCACTTGCGCAATGGAGAGGATCTCAAGATGTATGAGCTCCAACAATCCCGGATCGATCATCTGGAGCTGGGCGAAGGGGTACAGCGCCACCGTCCCTTCCTTCTCCGCTGGCTTGGGCCGTGTGATGACGTAGTAGACGACGAAGTGCTTCCCGATGCAGTGGTCTTCGTGATCCACGAAGAACCGGAACATCCCCAGCGCCACCGACTTGTACAGCGCACGGTGCAACTCCCACGCGTCTTCATCGACGAAGGGCGGCGGCTCGACGTCAGTTAGCTCCACCAAATACTCCAAGAACTCGCGCATGGGATAAGGGCCCTCCTTGAGCTGGTAGGGGAGGGTGGTGTAGGAGAAGAAGGGAGGCATTTAGTACGGGACAGGGGGAATAGCTTGGAAGTTGAGAAGAGCAGCGGGAGGGAGAAGCGCGGGGAGCTGTGGCACCAACGTAATTGGTTCGTCCTCTGCCCTACGCAGCAGCACTTCGTGGGCTGTGAATCGGTGTCCCCCCCGTCCTTGCAATCTGGCCACTGATCTAGCCGCTTCCACCGCATATTCGCGCACAAAGTTGCGCGTCGGCTCCCGATTCGGCTGCGGTAGGATCGTCAAGTCTCCGATGAAGGTGGCGACGTTGTGCACGAAGTTGGGTGCCACCTGGAGCGCGCGGAACTCAATGAATACTCGGGTCGTCTCCCCGCCAGGCAACTGCGTCACGTCCACGTACACCCCCGCATATGTCAACCGATCGCAAAGCAACGAGTACGCCGCCAAATCAGCAACCCCGGGCGCTGGCACGTTCACCTGCTGGATGTCGTACCGCAACTGCCTCTCCTCATTGAACCAATTGCGCAACAAACGATCTACAAGCTGCGTCTGGAAGTGCTCGAGGGGCTCATGCTCCGGCTGGCGATGGTTCATCCTGCTCCCTGAAACTCTCAGCACCAAGGGACGAGGCAAATCGGGAGGAGGAGGAGGATGAAGAAGGAGAGGGTGATCTCGCAGGAGCGGGGGTCCGTAGGGGACCTAGCGATGGCTGGAAGGGCCGGAGCGTGGCAGCGTGCCACGTCAGCGGTCGGGCCTGGAGTTGTGACAGGGAATCAGCTTCACGGAGTGCTGTCCCTGTGTGCCAACTTCCGGGACCTCGTAAATGCCTGTGTAGCGCGGGTGGATCTTGGAGGAGCGCGCAGATTTCTGTACCTGCACGAAGTCCCCAACTTTACAGCGGGGCAGTGGTCCCGCCGACGCGTGTCGATTCTCGTAGTCACAGATCTGTCGTTGATGTGTCCGATCTACGGCCTGCTGTCGACGGCGAGCTAACGGGGGATAGGCCCTAGCCATTAAGTCCATGTAGTGGCGGGCCTTATCTCGGTTCTGGGCACGTGTTGCTCTAACTTCCGTACCTACTAAGGGGGACAATTGCACCCGAGGGACACTATTGGTTCTCAGTTGAAAGGGGGACACCCCAATACTAGAGTGTGGGGTAGCCCGATAAACGGCCAAGATGTGGTCGACAATGATCGGCCAGGGCCGGGTATCTCCCGCTGTGATATTTCGTCTAAGGGCGGTCTTAATCAGTCGGTTGGCATTCTCTACCAGGCCATTGGCTTGAGGCCAATGGTCCGGCGAGTAGATAATCTTAGCGTTCACCCTGACTAGGTGACGTTCTACTTCGCCTTGAAATTTCGACCCATTGTCCATGTGTACCTCTTCTACGTCTAGATGCATGCACAAAAATCGATTTACGTACCAGGCTACCTCCTGCGAATTCCGGCTGGTCATAGGGTACGCCTCGATCCATTTTGAAAAATGATCGACGGCTACTAAAAGAACATTGAGTTCTTCCTGATCGACAGGACCTCTCGGAACGTTGATATCCGTCGTATCGATGCTAACCCTCTGAAAGGGGCGCTCTACACGAGTGGGCACCATCGTCCGAGGAATCTGTAACGGCGGCTTGTCCGCCGCGCAGGCCGGGCAATTTTGAACGATGTATTTCACATCTTCCCGAATTCCCGATCAGTACCATCCGTTCTTTTTTATGGCTTTTTCCGTGTACTTGACCACGAAATGGACCGCATCCTCTTCATGAGCAGCTCATGTCCAATCGAACCTAGCGAAAGGGTGTGGAACCGTCAACCAGCTAGACCCTCTGTCATCATCGACTTTTCGTTTTTGTAACGTCGGTCCCTGCCAACGATAGTCCTGCGCCCGCTCCGCGACTCTCCGCCTCTCTGCTTCAGTAAGTTCTGACAGCGAGTCGCCTGACAGCCTCCGTAGCAACAGAAGGTTCGTCCAAGCTTCTGCCCGGCGGGCACTTGGCGCAAATCCGTCGGCTGTTCTGGCGTTCAGATACCGCTTCTCGGTAGGGACTTGGTCCGTTCTACAGTTGGGACAGACCCATGTCTTTTCACTTCGGAACCTAACGCACTGTCCATGAGATTTGACCGTATGACACCGACTACACTGTACCCATAAAAGAAAATTGGGCCCTCCCGGATGTGACCCTTCTTGGTCCGGGACCATAGGCAAAGTACAGAAGGAGCAGGGACTTAAATGCGTTTCAGGGGACGAGTAGGGACTAGACGAGAGAGCGAGGGAGTTGGATAAGGGCAAAGAGATCGCGTCTGCCATCTCCGGCAAAAGCTCCATTCCGGACTCAGGCGTCGTTCTTGCGCAGCACGTGTAGCTCCCCGTAGTGCGGTTTCGTCGCCGCGACTTCTGGCCTCCACGGAATGAGTCGCTCCTTGGCGGGACACTTGTTGGGCGGCAGGAGGCGCGTCAATCCATCGACGTTACCATGCTGCCGCGTGGCACGGTGGCGGATGTCGAAGTCATAGTCTTGCAGACGCACCGCCCACCTGCCCAGCATCCCCGTGTAGTCCGTGTTGTTGCGTAGGGACAGCAGCGGCTGATGATCCGTTACCAGCACGAATTTCTGGCCGTAAAGCGGAAATGCTGGATCCCCCACACCACCGCCAGGCATTCACCTTTGCACGCTTCGTAATTAGCCTGCGCCTGGTTCAGCGTCTTGGACGCATACTCAATGACATGCTCCCTTCCGTCCTTCCCGTGCTGAGTCAGCACCGCCGATATCGCTTGAGGCTGCCAGTCTGTGTACAGTGCGAACGGTCTTGTTGGGTCGGGGCGCGCCAACACAGGAGCAGATGTCAGAGCCTCCTTCAATGCCTGAAACGCCGCTTCGCATTCCATCGTCTACATCAGCTGTTCCTCTTTCTTCAGCAGGTTCGTGAGGGGCTTTGCTATACCGGCGAACCCCTTGATGAAGCGTCGGTAATAGGATGCCAGCCCTAGAAAAGCCCGAACCTGGGTGAGTGTGACCAGCGCCGGGGCTGCTTGAAGTGCTGCCACCTTCCTCAGATCCGGTTTTAGTCCATCGACCGTGACGATGTACCCCAAGAATGAGATCTCCGACAAGAAGAACTCGCTTTTCTCCAAGGCCACTTTGAACCCCGCATCCTTTAGTGCATGCAAAACCCACTCAATGTGTTCCACGTGGTACTCGTGTGTTTTTGAAAAGACCAAAATATCATCCATGTACACAATCACGCAGAAATTGATCAAGGGCTGGGTCAGTTGGGTTTTGTTAACGAACTCAGCGAAGGCCATATTCATGGCCCGCTGAAACGTTGCAGGGGCGTTACAAATTCTCATGGGACACCGGACCCATTGCCACGTGCCTTCAAATCTGACAAAAGCGGTTTTGGGTCGGTCATCCGGTCGGACTGCGACATGGTGAAAACCGTGTCGGATGTCGAACTTTGAAAAGACTCGAGCGGCCCCGATAATATCTAACAAATCGTCGATTCGCGGCAAGGGATACACGTCTTTGGTAGTGATGGCGTTCAATTTCCGGTAGTCGATACATACCCGGACCGAACCATTTCGTTTTGGCACAAGGACCACGGGAAAAGACCACGGTCCCAGCGATGGTTCGACCCACCCCAACCGCTCGAATTCCCGTACCCTTTCCAATGCCAGTTGTCTTTCTTTAAGGGAATATYGGTAYGGTCRGCAATGTATCGGRKYGTGATCCCYGRTATCAATCGCGTGCTGTATCAAAGGGGTTAGCCCTATGTCGTGGTCCTGAATACTGACGGCCTCAGGATAGGCCCGTATAACTGCCAGGAGGAGGCGTCGGTATTCATCCGGAACACGGGCTGGTAACTGAACTTCTACGGTTCCCCCAGGAAGGGAGACCGTCGTCATAACCGTGGGGACCGCCGCGTTGGCATCAGGTGAGGCCCCAAACAAAGAGTTGCCGGTTTTCGCAGAAAGGACAGTCGCAATAAGTTGACTGTCCGCTGGGCTCATCGGCTCGCTTTCCATGTCACTGTCACTATCCAGTTCGGGTTCGGTCGAGGGTTCTACCGAAAAGGCCTGCGTCAGTTCCCTCGGTCCCCACCGATATTCCCTTGTTCGGGGTTGAAACGACACCCCCTCTTTCAAAAGTATCGCGGCTTTTTCATTCGTGAGTAGGGGCCGTGGAGGCCGAAAAGATAAATCGCACAGCCCCCTCAACTCGGTAAATCTTTTAGGTAGGGGGTCCGTCCTGAGATATAAGGACGCAGGGGGTTCCGAAAGGTCTGCTATTCGGGACACCCTCAGCAGGGGTTCCCCCTGTACCACGGAGGAGAACGAGTGCGACCGGTTGGACTCGCTCCGAACTATTTCCAGTGGTTCTCGCCGCCAAGAATGGCGCCACCGATCCTGAACTCGGATCGGATATCATCAGTCGGGTACATCAGCCTCATCAATTTCCGTCGATGGTTAATTTTTGCTTGGGGACAAGCGTCAGATCATGTTGATTTGATGGGCTTTCGTGGTGAGTCGAGGCGTCGGCTGGGTGCGCAAGCACACCGCCGGTCTCATTGGTATCGTTTGGGGTTTGGGGTGGGCCGATGTGAGCACCACCTTACAGCTGTCAAAGTGCATTCGCACTCCAACCGCCGCCTGCCACGGAATGCCTAGTAGAACATCATACGCCTGTACATCCAGCACGATCACGTCGCACAGACAATGCACCCCCCCCACCCGTATAGGCACGTTCGTTATTCGCCCCTTACAATGAATATTGTCTTCCGTAGCGGATATATACAGTTCATCCGGTCGGAGGGGTTGAACTTGTCCCTCCCTTCCCAACTGTTTCGTCAACCTCCAAGAAATGGCGACCGCTGACGATCCCGAGTCTAGGATGGCGGCCGAGGGATTTCCCCAGACCTCGCAGTCACACTCAACGCTTTTCTAGGTTATAGGATAGGCTCGGAGGAATACCTTGGGTTTTTTCGAGGTCGAGTCTACGGTCTGGATTATTCCTATTCGGTCGGCTTCGTGCACCTTTGAGGTCGAGGGCTGCGACTCCTCGTTTGTGGGTAGGTCCCGTGGAACCGGCTTTTTGCCCTTTCGACTTT